CCCCCCACACACGCTTGTCCCACCCTTGAGATGTTCAGTGATCAAATTGGGGGCGTGGCCTGAGCAATGAGGCCACCTGGGAGAATCCTGTGCGGGAGCAGCATCCAGAACCTGCAAGGAAAAGCGCAGAAGAGGCCCCACCTCAGACCTGGAGCTGTGGAGCTCTGGAATCCGCTGTGGGCCATGTGGAGGCTGCGTCCGTCCCCAGGGGCAAGACCTGTGTTGCCTGTGCCAACAGCTTTGTCCTAGGGTCTAGGTACAGAGTCAGTGCTCACGGCAGAGCCACGTTGGGAACTAAAGGCATCATGAGGTCCCTCGGACACGTGTGGTTAGGTGTTTGGCTGTTCACCACCAAGTCAGCAGTTCGAAACCACCAGCCACTCCACAGGAGGACGGGATGTGGCAGTCAGCCTCTGGGCAGGTTACAGCCTTGGAAGGCCTAGGAGACAGTCCTACGCCTCCTATAGGAGGAAGGAGGACACCAGGCTTGGTAACATCGAGGCTGAATGAGCAAGAGGAAGGCCCTCAACAAGATGGATGGGCACAGTGGCTGCAACAGTGGGCTCACGTGTGGGCTGTGAGGATGGCCTCGACTGGCGGCTGGCTGTGTCTGTTCTGTGCCACGTTGGGTCGCTGTGAGTGGAAATCAACTCTGCGCCTAACAACACGAGTTGGAATCGCCGGGACTGCCACAGGGTTGGGGTTGGGGCATAATAGAGTCCCCAGGTGAGACGACTCGGATCAGCTGCTCACCTGGATGCTGACAAGAGAACCAGAGAAGCCTGCTGCCCGCTGTCAGCTCCAACTCAGAGTGACCCTGAAGGCAGAGTAGAACTGCCCCTGTGGCTTTCCAAGTTTGTTCATCTGTGTGGGAACCAGAAGCCTCCTCTTTCTTCCCCGGAGCAATGAGTGGCGTCGAACCGCTGACTTGCCACGAGCAGACCAACACGTAGCCCACTAGGCCACCAGGGTTGGTTCCTTCCATGAAGGTTACAGCTGGGTAAACCCCGACACACCTGGAGCCGTGGGCCCAATCCACTCAACAGCGATGAATGCCAAAGCAGACCAAAGTCCTGAGTTCATAGGGAAAGCCGGTGTCAACCCAGTCACCTGCCACAGCTCCAGTCCAATAGCGCCGATGTTCTCGAACTCAGAGAGGTCGTAGGCCGACAGGTAGCTGGTGCTCGTGAGCTCCTGATGAAGCCACATGTCTTTGTTGATCCCCTTGGGTTGCAGGCCGTCCTACGACAAACCACGAAGGGTGGTGGCATGATAGAGGGCAGTGGTTCTCAACCCATGGGTTGCGACCCATTTGGGGGTTAAACGACCCTCTGACAGGGGTCACCCAATTCATAGCAGTAGCAAAATGACAGTGATGAAGTAGCAACGAGAATAATTTTATGGTTGGGGGGTCTCCACCACATGAGGAGCTGTATGAAAGGGTTGCGGCATGAGGAAGGTTGAGAACCACTGATGGAGAGTGTGTTGGGGAGGGCAGCCCAAGGGTGGTCCAGATCCCAAGACCCTGGCACCCAAGGAGCCTGTACCTGGTATGGAGGCTTCTGGAGCATCGGCCCCGGCCAGTCACCGTCCAGCTCACTGTTCCAGTCGCTCGGCTTGCTGGTGCCCGCATCCAGAAAATGTTTCTCCCAGTCCTGAACGCAAACCCCAACTCAGTCAGTATCCTCAGACACCAAGAGACCAGGGCGGAGGCTGGATACAGCGGGTTATGCGTTGGGCTGCTAACCACAAGATCAGTAGTTCAAAGCCACCAGCTGCTCCAAGGGAGAAAGATGAGGCTGTCTACTCCCATAAAGAGTTATAGTCTTAACACTATTAAAAAGCAAAGTAGGAGGCCTCTCATCACCACCACCACCACCCACCCACCCCCACCCCCGATTTCAAAACCTGTTAGACAGTCACGGTAATCAAAACAGCTTGGTACTAGTACAATAGACATGTGGACCAATGGATTAGAACAGAGAACCCCAGAATACAATCAAGCAGCTACAGACACTTGACTGCTGACAAAGGACTAACATATGTGGAGAAGAGGTAGCCTTTTCAATAAACGGTGCTGGAAAAATCTGATCTCTGCCAGTAAAAGGATGAAACAGGACCCCTACCTCACACCATGTACAAAAGTGAATGCAAGATGGATCAAAGATCTAAATATAAACCTAGAACCATAAAGATCAACAGTGAAAATAAATGGTAACTTTAAGGGCATTAATACAGGTGCACATACATTACCAAACATAATTTTAGAAAAACACACCCACACTAGAGAGGGAAAGGACCTTTGAAAAATTCAACATATAGTTATGTACATCAAAAGACTTCATTAGAGTAAACAAGCGGCCATCTAGCTCAGAAGCAACAAAGCCCACATGGAAGAACACATCAGCCTGTGTGATCACGAGGTGCTGAAGGGATCAGTTATCTGGCGTCAAAAAACAAAAAAATCTTATCATTGTGTGCTCACCTCCATGATACGATCGCTGAA